ATCATTTCAGTACAATTAGATTGAGTGACTTTCTGCCATTGATTGTGTAACACGGCGTGAACGCCGCCATACCCATCACATTTGGGTTGCATTCTTGTGTAGCATCTGATTGGAAAAATCAAACTCCTGATGCATCTTAAATTACAATGTCACCCTAAAAGTCATTTATTTCGGTTTGTGCCCCGCAGACCAATATCAATAAGTGTTAGCCCATCACTGCGATAACACCTGCTTTCCGAGTCGTCTTGCTGTTGTAGGTATGACGTTAATTAACATTGGACTCATCAGTCGCCTTCCGGTGACACAGACTAAACGTTCACGAACCTTCGTCGGGATCGCCAAGACGTTTGCGTCAGTCTTTTAACAAATGAGAAAAAGATGACAAGCAATTTGACCCGCAGCGTAATGACAAACTTGATAGGAGAGTGAATATTCCTGCAATAAAAAGTTGAGTTTGCCGTGATGTTCTTACTCGGTGCATTAAGATCGCTAGAGATATCATTTACATTCTCTCGTGAATGTATTCGTTTATAAAAAGTCTAATCGGTAGAAGCTCTCAAAGTTGGAAGGCGCAGTGACCTAGATCTGCATTCCCTGTCTGCTGACCGATGTTTGTTTTTGGTTTACGTCTGTGCCACAGGTTTAGAACGAGACGGTGCTACCAAGCATATATGTTGAGTAATATTCGACGTCACATTAAACAAAGGGAGTAAGGCAGATTTCGCTGTCACGTTGCTGTGACAGTGCTCATGGTCCTTCGCGGTCAAAAACTCTGATGAAAGGACGTCGGAATGTAGATGTGGAATATGTTTCAAATCTCCCGACTGCATTACGGTACCAATAGGACGTGGTCTGTCGATCACACATTGCTATAGGGACGAATGTTTCAGATCTCCCGACTGCATTACGATGCCAATAGGACGTGGTCTCTCGATCACACATTGCTATAGAGACGTATGTTTCAGATATCCCGGCTGCGTTACTGTAACTATAGGATGTGTTCTCTCAGCCACTCTCTGAAAGGGGGACGTCATACCGTAGGCGGGGAGTTTGTATCAGATCTCCCGACAACATTACTTTGACAATATCAGGAGGTATATCTGCCAACCTCTGATAGGACACTCTGACCGTCATATCGTCGGTGAGGAGTATGTTTAAATCTCCCGGTCACGTAACTCTGACTGTCATTCCATAGGCGGGGAGTATGTTTAAATCTCCCGGCCACGTAACTCTGACCGTCATACCGTAGGTGTAGAGTATGTTTAAATCTCCCGGCCACGTAACTCTGACCGTCATACCGTAGGTGGGGAGTATGTTAAAATCTCCCGGCCACGTAACTCTGACCGTCATACCGTAGGTGGAGAGTATGTTTAAATATCCCGGCCACGTAATTCTGACCATCACATCGTCGGTGGGGAGTATGTTTAAATCTCCCGGCCGCCTAACTCTGACCGTCATACCGTACGCGGGGAGTATATTTAAATCTCCCGGCCGCGTAACTCTGACCGTCATACCGTACGCGGGGAGTATGTTAAAATCTCCCGGCCGCCTAACTCTGACAATCATACCGTAGGTGGGGAGTATATTTAAATCTCCCGGCCGCGTAACTCTGACCGTCATACCGTACGCGGGGAGTATGTTAAAATATCCCGGCCGCCTAACTCTGACAATCATACCGTAGGTGGGGAGTATGTTTAAATCTCCCGGCCGCCTAACTCTGACCATCATACCGTAGGTGGGGAGTATGTTTAAATCTCCCGGCCGCCTAACTCTGACCATCATACCGTAGGCGGGGAGTATGTTTAAATCTCCCGCCCGCCTAACTCTGACCGTCATACCGTACGCGGGGAGTATGTTTAAATCTCCCGGCCGCCTAACTCTGACAATCATACCGTAGGTGGGGAGTATGTTTAAATCTCCCGGCCGCCTAACTCTGACCATCATACCGTAGGCGGGAGTATGTTTAAATCTCCCGCCCGCCTAACTCTGACCGTCATACCGTACGCGGGGAGTATGTTTAAATCTCCCGGCCGCCTAACTCTGACAATCATACCGTACGCGGGGAGTATGTTTAAATCTCTCGGCCGCCTAACTCTGACCGTCATACCGTACGCGGGGAGTATATTTAAATCTCCCGGCCGCGTAACTTTGACCGTCATACCGTACGCGGGGAGTATGTTAAAATCTCCCGGCCGCCTAACTCTGACCGTCATACCGTAGGTGGGGAGTATGTTTAAATCTCCCGGCCGCCTAACTCTGACCGTCATACCGTACGCGGGGAGTATGTTAAGATCTCCCGGCCGCCTAACTCTGACAATCATACCGTAGGTGGGGAGTATGTTTAAATCTCCCGGCCGCGTAACTCTGACCGTCATACCGTACGCGGGGAGTATGTTTAAATCTCCCGGCCGCCTAACTCTGACAATCATACCGTAGGTGGGGAGTATGTTTAAATCTCCCGGCCGCCTAACTCTGACCATCATACCGTAGGCGGGGAGTATGTTTAAATCTCCCGGCCGCCTAACTCTGACAATCATACCGTAGGTGGGGAGTATGTTTAAATCTCCCGGCCGCCTAACTCTGACCATCATACCGTAGGCGGGGAGTATGTTTAAATCTCCCGGCCGCCTAACTCTGACCGTCATACCGTAGGTGGGGAGTATGTTTAAATATCCCGACCGCCTAACTCTGACCATCATACCGTAAACAATATAACCGTATCGCGAGTCTTCTGTTCACATTATACAGAGTGCATTCTGGTACCTCCCAATAACACTTCTGTTTGTACTTGAAGTACATGTAATTAAGTCTTCTTTTAACACTTTCCATCGTCTAGTTTTTCATTCAACGGCTATTTTATTTTGCATTCGTGTCATGATTAGTTTCTTTTGATTGAATTATTACATCAGATTGTTTTGGTGGAAATATGTGTCACCAGTTGGGAATACATCAGCTGTGTCTACTTTTATTTTTTTATTTTCCGCGTGGCTTTGCATCTGGTATGGTGTTTACAAAATCTGAAATCACATTGTCAAGTAATCTTATAAATGTAAATTATGAAATGCTTTTATTGAATGTTAAATGAATGGTTTCCTCTAAAATCTTGGTGATTTAAGTATTCGACGGACAATTAAATTCCCTGTTGACATTTCGCTACTATTTCCTGGAATACGTTTTCAAGTGGCGATATGATAATTGCATTGATAAGTGTCCCCTGTTTATCATTGCTGAATTATATTCCTGATCAACAAACCTTTGCGGCCAAGTAACTTTTCCACATGCGCGCCACGTCCATCCTGTTACAAAATCAATACGAGCAGTATGACCTAGAGGTCGAATTTGATTGTCCATGTACCGTGCAGAGGTGTTATAATGAGAAATGTAAGGAACGACAACACTGGTCGAGATTGCTTACTCTAATAACCTAACGTCATACCATACCCACGGGGGTAAGACGGGTTTCCTGGTTACAAAAGTAATGTAACGTCATACCGAATGCACGGAGTAAAGACAGGTTTCCTTGGTAAACTGATAATTTGACGTCATACCAAAGGAATTGGTGTATGACTAGTGTCCAAGTTATACTGGTAATGTGACGTCATACCGAAGGCATTTGAATATAACTCATGTCCTAGTTACACTGATAATGGGACGTCATACCGAAGGTACGGGAGAATGATGAGTGTCTTAGTAACATCGATAATGAGATGCAATAATGTTTATAAAAGACATACATAACAACATGAGTATATGGCAGTGTTTTTTTCGTAGCAAACTTTCCGTATTTCTCTGTCAGTTATCATAAACATCCGAATGACTGTTTAACTGTAATCAGAGAAAATCTTTCTGAACAATAAATTAATACATCTACAAATTCTGATTTTTACACACCACTTTCTTGTTTGGGGTCAAAGGGTCAAATGGGAAGGTCATTGTTAATGTAAATAGAATATCAGACACTTTCTAGACAGTCGTGCAAATGCCAGTGGCCCAAACAAACTCGAACCACACACACTGCTTTCTTATCGGGAGTGCTTATCAAGTTGACCGTTACTGTAACATTTGGTTTTGACCATCGTTTTCTGGCCAATAACAAGTCCCAATGGACCGATCAAACATACTTTTTTCTTGTCGGGAGTACTTTCCTTCTATCAGCGGGTCATATGTCAAAGTGACTGTAGATGGTGTGTTTGCTTTTTAACCTTGCGCATTTTTGCATTTTTTACTATGAAATAAATTGTGTGTTGTTTCCTTTACTATGACCAGTATAATGTACGTTGTCCGTGTGTATGATGCTGTATCTTTTCAAGTGTTGATATGAAACCCCGGAATAACACTAGCTTCTTCCGTTGTCGAGGAGGACAGGCGATCGTGGCGTCAGATCAAAGCTCGCGCTGTGCGGAGTTAGCGTGGATTGCCGTAGTATTAGAGGACCTGCCCCACGGTGAGGGAGCCATCAGACGAACCAACCGTAATCAATTGTCCTTTTTCACAATAGGGTCCTCCCGACAGATGAGCCATGTCTCGCGAGACTTACACAAACCAACTCGAGTAAGAATTAGGAATAATGATATACATGTAATTATATTGTCAGCACACCAGGGACTACTAATTAAAGCACATCGTCAGTGGACAGGGGTCAGTCTCTACAGACAAAACCAGGTCCGCCAAATGTGCTGGTCTGACACATACACCTCGCCTCACATAATAGTGATTGATTTCTTATTAGAAATAAGTGAGCGTCGATAACGAGCCAGCTTATATTAGGACGATATGTCGCCGGTGTAAAACAAAGCTGCGTGTCTGTGTATCAGAGATGTGTCTAACACCGAGTGTCCTGGGGTAAGGTCAGTATGTGACCACACTCAGTGTACCGCGTCCGAAATCCGGATCCACTCGATTTTATAACTCTATTAATGTTATCGGAACTAGTGACTATCAGTATGACTTCTGGTCATTTACAAATTTACAATGGATATTTTCTTGGTTTTTTTTTCCAGATGTAATCTCCCAAATGAGGTGGTTGAGCTGAATACACATTCCGAGGTAAGTGTTCATGGTTGATTCAGTTTCACATATGAAACTTGATACAAAGTAAACGAACCTTACCAAAAAGTTGTAGTTTTAATTTTAGCATATGTCTACAAACAGTCTCGTGAAAATGAAGTCTGATGATCGGCTGCCGGTGTAATTTTCCAAGTGCATATTAACGTATGGGTACACGTGTGTGCGTGTTATATTATTAAAGCAGCCAAGTCTGTGAAGTGTATGGTGTGACTCCGGCGCTGGGTGTTAAGTTTTTCTAAACCGTTATCTTTATGGTAATTAACCGATTTATTTGACACAAGTTCATTTAAGTCGAGCAGGAATACTTTTATATAACGTTATCTAAGAATCTATTATTCGCCCTCAGTCTCGGTTATATCTATAGTATATGTTGTATCTAGTACATATCACTGTTTATACGTAGATAAATCAGTAATATGTCGTATGTATCATAATTAAAGACTCGCAGCTGTGTGACAGCTACTGTTACATCAGTCACGACTTAGAAGTTATACTTAACACAGTTCTACTGGTACATAACTTAAGTATCTCGACATTTGCCACCTCCGGTTTTGGTTATACATACAATGACGTCATTTTATACGGCCAGACCAAATTAAGAATAGTTTCCGATTCAAAGAAGATGTTTGTTAAAGTTTTCTGTGGTAGATTAGCAAAAAGATATATTTATTCCAGTTAGATTTAGGTCAACTTTAAAAGTATATTCCCAAAACTGCCACCGTCAACAAGTTTTAAACTAGGGTACTGGACTCTCAACATGTACAAACACTGGTGTTGACAATGAATCAGGAAATAGCGTTATATGCTGAGTTAGATAAAAAAAAAAAAAAAACAATGTTAAGAAAAAAATCACCATCTTCATAATGGCTGCTTCCTGGCTCGAATTTCGTGCTCATAACTGGTCCTGTTACCACACGGTAATATATCAAAATATGACAGAAATCGGTTAGTTTATGGGAAGTGAAAAAAGGGGTTTAAACGATTTTCTAAACAGGTTTTATTCCTATATATAATTAAACATACATGTATATTTTTTAAAACAACATGACAGCTGGGATTAGTATAAAAGCATACATTGCCATACAGGGCGGAATCTATACGATGGCATTGGGATCTGTAAGCCGATACAGATGTTTATACCTTCCTTGATAGTAATAAAGAGTAAATTATCAATATTAATACTAGCAATACATGTGTAGTCTTACCTCGATACAGGTATCAGTGCTGTCTGTGGTCAGTCTTACATCTATACAGGTATCAGTGTCGCCTGTGGTCAGTCTGACCTCTATACAGGTATCAGTGTCGTCTGTGGTCAGTCTGACCTCTGTACAGGTACCAGTGTTGTCTGTGGTCAGTCTGACCTCTGTACAGGTATCAGTGCTGTCTGTGGTCAGTATTACCTCGATACAGGTATCAGTGTCGTCTGCGGTCAGTCTGACCTCTGTACAGGTATCAGTGTTGTCTGTGGTCAGTCTGACCTCTGTACAGGTATCAGTGCTGTCTGTGGTCAGTCTTACTTCTATACAGGTATCAGTGTTGTCAGTGGTCAGTCTTACTTCTATACAGGTATCAGTGTTGTCTGTGGTCAGTCTGACCTCTGTACAGGTATCAGTGTTGTCTGTAGTCAGTCTGACCTCTGTACAGGTATCAGTGTTGTCTGTGGTCAGTCTGACCTCTGTACAGGTATCAGTGTTGTCTGTGGTCAGGTTTAACTGTTGTGCGTGGTCACTTTTACAATGTCAAGGTTTATTGTTTAAGTTTGAGTGAAGTTGGCAAGGATGTCTTGACGTTTTGGAGCAAGTGGTTTGTTTTGATGACGTCAAATGTTGTTGTTGCCACCATAGACTCCACCAATTAGAAAATCATCAGTCAGAGAGCGTCACTGATATCCACCATGTATTTTAAACTTTAATTCAAATGCATGATCGATTGCAATTAAAGATGTGATCTGCAGCACGTGCCTACATATGCCAGGTATGAGAGAAATCGAGATTAACTCCAAGCCCGGCGCGCTACCGACGATGGCCTTCCGTGAACACGGAGTGATTTATTTCATTTGACAGAGCAGATACAAATTACATGAATAATACAAGCGTATAGACGATACGAAGAAGGCACACATATCAGTAATTAGATTTACCTGTCAGGGTTTACGTGTTTGATGTTTTAACCTTTGTAAGTGATGTAAGCTGTTGACTACAGCTATTGTCTTAAAGACACTAGGATATTACAAGCTATCGCGTTTGATCGTTGTTTGATGGAATTTTTTTATGTTTAAATCTTTCTTCATTCCATTGAGTTTATTGCTGACTGTAGTCACCAAGAAAGCTGGATCAACGATGAGCCATATTTGCGAAGAGGAGACGTTGCTTTATTACCGATACACGAACCCCTTGTGTCGACATCTGCTATATAGAGGGCTGTCTGGCAACAGAGGCAGTGGTAATTGTTGTTGTTTTTGTTCAGCGTTAATCGTGAACATTCTTCCCACAGCTAAGGAGATATGTTTATTGATGTGTACCTGTGTAAATATATGAGAGAGGAAAGAAAGTAAACAAATGTTGAAATGGGAACAACAAATCAATTTCTGTTGTGTAATATCCCCTTGGCGATAGACAGTTTCTATGTCCCGGCGAAGAGTCTGGTCACTGTGTTTGTAGATGCGATAAACGCAGCATAAGTTTAAAATGAAACACTGTATAGACAAGCAAGCTCCTAGCCAATTCATTATCTACTAGTAATCAATTAAATGTCTAATTGGAGGCAGCAATGTTCATTCCGAGGTTGAAGTTTCTATGATCTTCGACACTGGTCAATGATTTCAAAAATTAACCTTTCAATTGTTATGACGCTTTCCATAAAACTGGATATCCTTTTGTCGCATAAGTGTACTGAAGATTATAGAATTCCCACGTTAGTAATGCGTAGACTCCATATCAACCATACCGTAACGTCACGCAATTAATATATCTATGTAATCTGTCACTTGTACATCGCAAATCTGATACATTCCCGTTGTATAATAATGAAAACGACAGAACTGTCCATTACACAGAAGGATGTTTTCCCAAACCGTTTTTGTCTTTTTGTCATTTGGGTACAGAACGCGGAATGAAGTGACATGAAATTTGAATAATGAGAGAAAATTTTAGATGTTTTCCGATAGGTTGTTCTGACTTTCTGTTATTGTCAGCCATTACATATACAGTTTCGTCAACGGTTCAATGCCACCTTTGTGTCCCGCGCATCGTAATATTTGCTTGCGGTCCATCATGTAAAAAGATGCATTTTGGTCATTAAAGGCAGTGTCGGTCTTGTCGAACACAGGCTCGTCTCACTAAAGGATTTTCGGTAAGAAATTATTTACGTTTAAACTTGAATATATAGTCATTCAATGCTCTAACGACAGTAGTTCCGAACTTTACGTCATTTTGAAAGTGTGATGTCACTCCAATGATAAGTACTGTAAGATCTGCTGCTACACAACATACCTATTATAGATGTTACTGGTAAGACGTGCTACAGCTAGAAAATCTAATACTAGTATGCGTATGTTTACCCCAGCATTCATATACCCCTGGTATTTATATTTAGCCAAGGAGAAATCTTATTAGTAAATAAGATACTGAAATCAAATTGACAAATACAGTGTGCATTTCTTGTTTGAAACGTTTACATGAATAATAAATGTAGAAAGATAATTGGAGAGATAGCATGGAAGCCTAGTTAGGATTAAGATTAACATATGATCAAACGAGCCAGTCATCTAGAACAAATATCATGAGAATAATACAGACACTCGGTAAATGTCTCCACAACACTGTAGACGTGGATTTAACGACAAGTGTTCATACGATTAGCTCATACAATAAACAAGTAACAATAGACTGTCTAGTGAATCCTACCGAGCTGTACATGTAGCAACAAAGTTTTCAGTCAAATAGGATATTTTATTCTTGAATAGTCAAAGTCATTGGAATATATAAAATGATCACAGATATGTAGCTTATAATGTCCGATGTCTTTTAGGCTGGTTGTAGATGTAAATAACGGAAGGTACTGGTCACGTATAGTCACGTGGCTATCGGTCACTTTGTGGTGGGGTGGCTTTAATTGTTTTGTAATGAATGGACCACAACCTTACATGATATACATGTATAATGTCCGGTCACCTTTGTACAAACTGCTCGTCGATAGGGTGGATGGAACCTTAGGGGAGGCTTACCACCAGAAATCTTTGCTCATTAGAGCATCGTGTACGATCGCTGGCCAGTTCATCACACTGTGACCACCTCTTGACCCTTTGTGAATTTGGTAGAGTGATAAATCCTAATGAGAAAAATCTGCAAAACAAACCGACATTAACTTATCAAGCTGTGGCACTCTGTCATGTCTCGGCTCTCCTCCATTGCAGGGGGCTCCCCATCCTCGTTGTGTCCTGGGCTTCCTGTCTCCACCTCCTTTATGGAACCCATCGAGTGCGCGTCGGTGACAATATTCCGGCTTAACATTATCGCCGTCTGCTCACTGGTTGGACCGTTCAATTATGTGTGTTCTTCAACTCCCAGCCATACCTGTCCTATTTTTTTTAAAAATATCAGTTCTGCTTCTGAACACTGTTTGTCAAAACGAACAGGAACTATAGAAGGTAACCAAGAAATAGCAATTAGCCTCGGGTAACGATTGTAGGTTTCACTGCGGACAAATAAAACGTGATGTTATCTGTTAGTATGGGCGGGATATGGAAATATACAATAATTGTAAATGTACCTGTAAGATGTTTTAGGACGAAAATTACTCAGAGAACGACGCAAATAGATGGTTTGATATTGACGCACCAATAGGACCTGGACCACAATTACTTACTCTGAAATTACAATATTGATTACAGAGAGTAGATAAACGTTTTGTCAAAAGTCTCATAAAGACAGCTGTCGGGTGTATATAATGCTCAAAAATAAAGTACAGACGAATTTCGGAAGGATCTTGTACTGTGTTGTACAGACGACTCCCAGACAGATCTTGTTCTCAGTGTCGTACAGACGACTCCCGGACAGATCTTGTACTCAGTATCATACAGATGACTCCCGAACAGATCTTGTTCTCAGTGTCGTACAGACGACTCCCGGGCAGATCTTGTACTCATTGTCATACAGATGACTCCCGGACAGATCTTGCACTCATTGTCGTACAGACGACTGTCAGACAGATCTTGTACTCAGTGTCGTACAGACGACACTCAGACAGATCTTGTACTCAGTGTCGTACAGACGAATGTCGGACAGATCTTGTACTCAGTATCATACAGACGAATGTCGGACAGATCTTGTACTCATTGGCGTACAGACGACTGTCGGACAGATCTTGTACTCATTGGCGTACAGACGAATGTCGGACAGATCTTGTACTCAGTGTCGTACAGACGACTGTCGGACAGATCTTGTACTCATTGGCGTACAGACGAATGTCGGACAGATCTTGTACTCAGTATCATACAGACGAATGTCGGACAGATCTTGTACTCATTGGCGTACAGACGAATGTCGGACAGATCTTGTACTCATTGTCGTACAGACGAATGTCGGACAGATCTTGTACTCAGTGTCGTACAGACGACTGTCAGACAGATCTTGTACTCAGTGTCATACAGATGACTCCCGGACAGATCTTGTACTCTTTGTCGTACAGATGACTCCCGGACAGATCTTGTACTCATTGTCGTACAGACGAATGTCGGACAGATCTTGTACTCAGTATCATACAGACGAATGTCGGACAGATCTTGTACTCATTGGCGTACAGACGAATGTCGGACAGATCTTGTACTCAGTGTCGTACAGACGAATGTCGGACAGATCTTGTACTCATTGTCGTACAGACGAATGTCGGACAGATCTTGTGCTCATTGTCGTACAGACGACTGTCAGACAGATCTTGTACTCAGTGTCGTACAGACGAATGTCGGATACACATATCTCCAATAGACAGAAGAGTCTTGACTGCGTTTTGAAGAGTTCTGGAAATCTGTTTCCTGATACTGTTTCTGTAACTTATGCGCAGCAGCATTTGAAGAACGACAGTGTTGTATGTTATTCCACTTGGCTGAAACACTCCGTACATTTTGTAATAATAAAAACACAGATTACGGCAGCTCCACAGCAGGTATTTGCAGCAATCACATTTCCAAGAAACGATTTATTAGCCACAACTGGATACTTTGATGATGTGGAAATTGGGTCATTTTGAGACTCCTATTTCTATCGCGCGCGATGGGCTAGACTCGCAAATTGATATGTTTACGTTGGTTATTTACGACAAGAGAGAGAGAGAGTTGACACTGGGGCTTTGTACAAATACATGTAATTCAGAGTTGCCATCTGCAGTGGCAAATCTCTCATTCTCTCTGACTAGCCTCATGTTTGTTTTGTAGACAAATCACTCTTCTCTCTGCGAGTCACACATTTTGTTGGTAGATATTTGTGATCAAGTCGCATTTTTTCTCTGTTAAATTGTATATTTTCAAGTCCTATTTATCAGTCCCTCTTCTCTCTCTGAGTAGCCACACGTTTTTTAAAGATCTTCATTCTTGATAAAAAAAAAAGTCACCCATTCTGTCATGTCTCCTCTATAATTATGTCTTACATTCACCAAATCGCCGTTGATCCGCAAGTCGGAATTTTTACCTTTACTGTCGGACGTGTCGCCTTTTTCTCTACTATAGCACAAACTTATTTGTTGACAAAGGGTTTATTTTGTCTACTTTGATGTGCGAGTGTTTCTTTCTGTGTGTGGTAGACGCTTTGATTATAGCGGAAAAGTTTCGGACGTTGTATACTGAACATGGCTTTTGACGAGACACCAGATCGCACTACATGTGTTAAACATCACATGCACTTGTCTTTTGGACAGAAAGCGTTTAACGCCAGTGCTGACAAAAACGTGATTACCTCGTGTCAGGATTGACAATTTACTAGTGTTTGGCATGCCCTCTCGAAAAGATGACGACAGGTACTCAACCATTTCAGAGAGTTCACAAGATACCCAGCCATCTTCAGACTAACAAAAAAAGTTGGAATATATCTATCATTTATAATGATCTTATGGATACTGCTCCACACATTTAGGTCGGTGTTGGCGCGTGCCGCCGTTTTGTATACTGATAAGGATATCATTCCGATCTTATCTTCATTCGATACAAATAGTTTAAGCAGTAAGGAGCATTATGTGTGTAGTATAGGTTACACTTATTCCGACATAAATGTTTAGTTGTAAACAAGATTGAAGGTGGTGTAAAGACTTATGGGAGCGACAGGTCTTATATCCAAAGAGACAGATACAGACTGAGTTTCGCTTTCGCTTGGCAGTGCATCCGGACCTGTCAGTGGCCGCACTGGACCAAAGACTTATGGATCGATACCAATTATATGACCAGCTGACGGGGGCTTTAGACAGTATCAGTATCACATGACCGTATCAAACTAAGCCCATCTTGTAAGTATTTAAAATCTTTACACGTCAATAGATACCCTCCGCAGCACGCAGTGTGCTGACGACTGAATATGTGGTGTCCGTACAACCAGGCAGAACATTCAAGGTTTCCGCCATTTCAGATCATGGCGATACAGAAACGACATCTCTCCATCAATAACACCAACAAACTAACGCTGTTTCCTAGTAAAAACACCGAAAGGAATTGTTCGTAAAATCACCGTCAACTGGTTCATTACCGAGGTTATGGAGCGCCAGTTTTAACGTGTCGGCTTTCTTGTCGGGCCAATCAGTGTCCGGGACATTGCTGGTTTTCAAGGTTGTAATAGACCGTAACTTTGGTCAGTGGCGCCTCTGGCACACTCCACAGTACCTTTTCTATAATCAGAATAATTTTTCTGTTTTTTTTTCTCTTGATTTTGTACTCAACACGTTGATTTGTTTACATTAGACTATTGCTACTGACGCTTGAACACGTATGTTCATATTTATATTTTGTGTTTTCAACCGCAATCTATTGCAGTGCCTTGTAAATCGTGTTAGACAACAAATTAGATTGAAATCCTTCATCGTGCCTTGGTTTTTTTCATTGTCAAAAACTTTCTATTTTCCATGTCACTTGCTGTAAAGTGACATTACATATTTATGATTCCATGCGCCACCAACTTCCTTCTAATTCTTAATGAGCGAAACCACAACCCTGCTGTCCTGTCGCAGTACATTCAGATGTACATCCGTTCTTTCTTTTCGTTAATTTTTACATGTCGGTTTTGTGCGAGATTGACATTTATGATGACATCGAACGGGGAAAAATATCCAGCGGGGTCATTGTTGACCAGGGATCATCCTGTATCTAATGGCCTCCGACCTGTTCAGTGTCAACAAATGATCTCTTTATCTGCAGGTAGTCAGTGTCGGCCACTGGTTTTCTTGTATCCACTGGTCTTTTGCCTGATCAGTGTCCAACATTGTCCCGTACTTCCCCGGCCTTGTCAGTGTCATCAGTCAGCGATCCTCTGGTATCCAGTGGTTTCCGGCCTGGCCAATGTCATCAGTCAGTGATCCTCTGGTATCCAGTGGTTTCCGGTCTGATCAGTGTCCAACATTGTCCCGTACTTCCCCGGCCTTGTCAATGTCATCAGTCAGTGATCCTCTGGTATCCAGTGGTTTTCGGTCTGGCCAGTGTCAAATATTGTCCCGTACTTCCCCGGCCTTGTCATTGTCATCAGTCAGTGATCCTCTGGTATCCAGTGGTTTCCGGTCTGATCAGTGTCAAACATTGTCCCGTACTTCCCCGGCCTTGTCAATGTCATCAGTCAGTGATCCTCTGGTATCCAACGGTTTCCTGTCTAGCCAGTGTCAAACATTGTCCCGTACTTCCCCGGCCTTATCAATGTCATCAGTCAGTGATCCTCTGGTATCCAGTGGTTTCCGGCCTGGCCAGTGTCAAACATTTTCCCGTACTTCCCCGGCCTTGTCAATGTCATCAGTCAGTGATCCTCTGGTATCCAGTGGTTTCCGATCTGATCAGTGTCAAACATTGTCCCGTACTTCCCCGGCCTTGTCAATGTCATCAGTCAGTGATCCTCTGGTATCCAACGGGTTCCGGCCTGGCCAGTGTCAAACATTGTTCCGTACTTCCCCGGCCTTGTCAATGTCATCAGTCAGTGATCCTCTGGTATCCAGTGGTTTCCGGTCTGATCAGTGTCAAACATTGTCCCGTACTTCCCCGGCCTTGTCAATGTCATCAGTCAGTGATCCTCTGGTATCCAGTGGTTTCCGGTCTGGCCAGTGTCAAACATTGTCCCGTACTTCCCCGGCCTTGTCATTGTCATCAGTCAGTGATCCTCTGGTATCCAGTGGTTTCCGGCCTGGCCAGTGTCAAACGTTTTCCCGTACTTCCCCGGCCTTGTCAATGTCATCAGTCAGTGATCCTCTGGTATCCAGTGGTTTATGGTCTGATCAGTGTCAAACATTGTCCCGTACTTCCCCGGCCTTGTCAATGTCATCAGTCAGTGATCCTCTGGTATCCAGTGGTTTCCGGTCTGATCAGTGTCAAACATTGTCCCGTACTTCCCCGGCCTTGTCAATGTCATCAGTCAGTGATCCTCTGGTATCCAGTGGTTTCCGGCCTGGCCAGTGTCAAACATTGTCCCGTACTTCCCCGGCCTTGTCCATGTCATCAGTCAGTGATCCTCTGGTATCCAGTGGTTTCCGGCCTGGCCAGTGTCAAACATTGTCCCGTACTTCCCCGGCCTTGTCCATGTCATCAGTCAGTGATCCTCTGGTATCCAGTGGTTTCCGGTCTGATCAGTGTCAAACATTGTCCCGTACTTCCCCGGCCTTGTCAATGTCATCAGTCAGTGATCCTCTGGTATCCAGCGGTTTCCGGCCTGGCCAGTGTCAAACATTGTCCCGTACTTCCCCGGCCTTGTCAATGTCATCAGTCAGTGATCCTCTGGTATCCAGTGGTTTCCGGTCTGATCAGTGTCAAACATTGTCCCGTATTTCCCCGGCCTTGTCAATGTCATCAGTCAGTAATCCTCTGGTATCCAACGGTTTCCGGCCTGGCCAGTGTCAGCCAATTCCCTCTTATCCACTGACTTACATGAATCAGGCGTTAAATATCTTCAAATGATTGCGCTTATATTTTTTTCTCGACCATTTTCGGATGGTATGAGTAACGAATGTAAGCATCAGATTTATTCTGATATTTATTTAAACAGCAATGATAACAAAAATCATTGAAACCTTGGGGTTCCCTCCCCATGCGTCTGTACCTTAATACCTACACACCAGTCACATTCCTGCTGTGTACAAATCCTGTAGATACCAAAGCATGTTGTTCGAACACACGGTCAGGGCCATTGTTGAATGGCAGAGTACTTTGTCATCGACTACCGAATGGTGACATTTATTTTTCGTATTTGTGGTAAGCTGATAATCTAGTTGATTTGCTTTCATTGGTCGATAAGACTGACTTTGAGTGATTACACTTGTGTACCAGCCGGCCGAACCCTTCCTACACACAGACGTCAATACCTCGGATGCAATAATTGAGTTTTGACGTCTGTTTAATGCTTTTTTCGGCAGCAAGAATATTATTTTTGGCAGAGATGTCGAACTTCGTTAAACATTTATGCATATGACATATGCCTGTAAAGCATTTTGATTTTTCTGACGTTTAAGAGAAATCTTAAGTTAGACGCTTGTGTGTGTGATGATAACAACCCAACCTATCGAATTCAAACAACTCCTTCTAACTTAAGGTTAGGTATCACCACGGAGGGTTCTGATAGCAGTTTTATTTGTCTGGCGCGTCTGGGATTACACACAGGAGTAAGTGGGAATTGGTTGTAAAAACTAATCCGTTGGAAACTGTTAAGTTCTGTTATCTGAATTAACTCAAGGCTGAATTAACCTTCTATCACGATAATTATTTTTTGAACTTCATACATTGTGTATGTTGAATTGATCATTTGCCAAAATACAAGTATAAATATGTTTTTATGTTTAAATGAGTTATACTTTCAATACAACGAGCTTAGAATTTCATTCAGACTTTTTCTGGAAGCAATTAACTGTTCCCCCGTCTGGTGGAAGTCGTAAACTACTAATGTAATTGTGTAGGTTTCCTCTGGCGGTGCAGGTACCGAATCCAGGTGGTGGGGCCCATCACTAGGCCGTCTGTCTGCAGCAACAAATCCACAGGAATCAAATTGGAACACAACGAAATAAGCTTTTACCATATAAATGTCTGGAAATATCTCCATTATAGATAAATCATTCGATAACTATATTTATTTAAAAAATAATTGAAGTTAATGCTCATATTTACAGTTTATAATATTGGAAAAGCATATTAATACATACATTATGTACATATATATTTGGATGGTACTGACGAAAACTGAACCAAACGAACTAAAAACAAACTTGAGTAGACGGTACTGCAGTAGCTTAAAATATAAAATACAGTGAACAGTACTGACGGAGCTTACAATACAAAATACAGTGGACAGTACTGACGGAGCTTACAATACAAAATACAGTGGACAGTACTGACGGAGCTTACAATACAAAATACAGAAGACGGTACTGACGGAGCTTACAATACAAAATACAGTGGACGGTACTGACGAGAGCTTACAATACAAAATACAGTAGACGGTACTGACGGAGCTTACAATACAAAATACAGTGGACGGTACTGACGGAGCTTACAATACAAAATACAGTGGGAGGTACTGACGGAGCTTACAATACAAAATACAGTGGACGGTACTAACAGAGCTTACAATACAAAATACAGTGGGAGGTACTGACGGAACTTACAATACAAAATACAGTGGACAGTACTGACGGAGCTTTCAATACAAAATACAGTAGACGGTACTGACGGAACTTACAATACAAAATACAGTAGACGGTATTGACGGAGCTTACAATACAAAATACAGTGGGAGGTACTGACGGAGCTTTCAATACAAAATACAGTGGAAGGTACTGACGGTAACTATTATACCAAATACAGTTGGCGATACTGACCGTCTATAAATACCAAATACGGTTTACGGTACCGTCGGAGACTATCATACAGTTTACAGTTCTAATACAGCTGGCGGTTCTGACGGAGGATGTTTTTGCTATGTTACGAATTTGTGCTAGTGAAGAGTAACTCCGGTCATTACCTAATATTTCGTCGTTTTTTTAATGACTTAAGAAACAATAGACTTCACAAAGATCTTCCCTCGCTTACTACAGGATCCTACGTGCATTGCAGTGGTTTGTGAGGAAACGTTGAGTGATGGGAGCGAAGCTCTGTCCCACGACATCGCTGCGTGGACAGTGACTCTTTGTCTCCTTAACCTCGTTCTGTACGCATTAGGATATTTTCAAATCGTTATTGTGCACGACAATTTCACATTCCATAGACATAAAATGATAGTTTTTCATAATGACATGTCATAGATACGAGGTAACTATTGTCGTTTGTAGGTTCCTTGTGAGTATTGGCATAGGAAGCCACTCGGCTATCTCGGTTTGGCGTTTCCAACAGACAAATATAGATTTACGGGTTGGCCTCCAAGGACTTGTTGAAATGGTTTTCTGGTTGTGCAGTGAAATTTAGTTTTAATGGTATCGTTAACTCGACTTTGCTAACTTTGCCAGGAGGATAAGAACCGGGAGGATGGTAATCGAGAAGTGCCACCAGGACACACTCGTATAGACGGGGTCAGGCAGGGTGAGGGGCTGACACTGACACAAACCATATAACATTAACATTTCTATTTTCAAAGTGTTATCGGAAATTTTCCTGCTGTTGTATACCTCTCTTTAACGAAGATGTGTAATGCCCACAGCTGGAGTTCTGGTCATTCCGTCAGTATTAAGATCAGAGATGTTCTCACACTCCAAAGATGCACGCACACGTTTTAAAAGGAAAAGATCAACCTATCTTGATTAGATAAAGAATGATCACACTTAATGTCAAAACTAACAATGACATCACACCGGCAAACGTCGGTACTGTATAAGGTGAAGCTATGGACACATTTGCAGGTACTAACTGCGCACGTCGTGAAACGCCCAAACAGAGTTACGTCACCAAGGCTACCATACTCATACGTTACACACACGACCAATTCCTGACTAATGGTATACTCTACACACGGTACCTATTTACTAGGTCCAGACTGGTCTGCTGCGCATGTATACTCAACACACGGTACCTACTTACTAGGTCCAGACTGGTCTGCTGCGCATGTATACTCAACACACGGTACCTATTTACTAGGTCCAGACTGGTCTGCTGCGCATGTATACTCAACACACGGTACCTATTTACTAGGTCCAAACTGGTCTGCTGCGCATGTATACTCAACACACGGTACCTATTTACTAGGTCCAGACTGGTCTGCTGCGCATGTATACTCAACACACGGTACCTATTTACTAGGTCCAGACTGGTCTGCTGCGCATGTATACTCAACACACGGTACCTATTTACTAGGTCCAGACTGGTCTGCTGCGCATGTATACTCAACACACGGTACCTATTTACTAGGTCCAGACTGGTCTGCCGCGCATGTATACTCAACACACGGTACCTATTTACTAGGTCCAGACTGGTCTGCTGCGCATGTATACTCAACACACGGTACCTGTTTTCTAGGTCCAGACTGGTCTGCTGCGCATGTATGCTCAACACACGGTACCTATTTACTAGGTCCAGACTGGTCTGCTGCGCATGTATACTCAACACACGGTACCTATTTACTAGGTCCAGACTGGTCTGCTGCGCATGTATACTCAACATACGGTACCTGTTTTCTAGGTCCAGACTGGTCTGCTGCGCATGTATACTCAACACACGGTACCTATTTACTAGGTCCAGACTGGTCTGCTGCGCATGTATACTCAACATACGGTACCTGTTTTCTAGGTCCAGACTGGTCTGCTGCGCATGTATACTCAACACACGGTACCTATTTACTAGGTCCAGACTGGTCTGCTGCGCATGTATACTCAACACACGGTACCTATTTACTAGGTCCAGACTGGTCTGCTGCGCATGTATACTCAACACACGGTACCTGTTTTCTAGGTCCAGACTGGTCTGCTGCGCATGTATACTCAACACACGGTACCTATTTACTAGGTCCAGACTGGTCTGCTGCGCATGTATACTCAACACACGGTACCTGTTTTCTAGGTCCAGATTGATCTGTTGCGCATCGCTTTACACGGTAAGCAAACGATCGCGTCATCACTCTGACACATAGGTGATTGCGTTTTGCATTGTATTTGTCATACAACTTGCATGTAAAATACGTGTCTAATTGATACTGGCTTTGTCGTGAGAGACACACTGTATTGTTACCCTAGTGACTGTAGCAAACGTTTTATAATGGTGGATGGAGGATATGATACGTACGCAGAGTGACGTCATAGACAGGCACTGGAATGATTCGCGTCGAGATATAGAACTCCCTTTGAAGAAGTAATTCGTTGCAATAATGTCATAATTGCCATTTGTCACGTGCATTGTGTGTATCTTAATCTTTTATGTAAAACAATTTCTATCTCCAGGGATTGAATACAATTTAGAGGTTTCTTCAGTTAATGTTTTCCATTGAAGTAAAAAGAAGTGGTAATGTTCTAAAAGGAAGGAAACACCTTTAAACACCAAAACTTATAACATCTTGCTAAGATGAATGCTAATACGTAAACAACACAGATTGTAAAGGACTCCCAAGTTCTACTTTTTTTTTGACAGAACTGCTATAAGCGAGGTTGTGTAGTGTCATCGCAGGGCACCGTGTCGGTCATCCTGATGCACACCTGATCCGTCATTGCCCCAATCTGAAATGTTTTCAAGATCTGTCTGATATGTGGCTAATTTTATACTTTAAAGACTTCTTTCGCTGATGTATGAGTGCACGTGAGTTGAAACATTGTAAGTCAAAGTAACGATGAGTGAGTAATTTTTGCACGTACATGACACAATCGCCTTGTCGTACGTACCAAGGTGTTTCCTGAACTGTGTCCACGCACAGCTTGAACACAGAAACATGCCTTGAGGACATGCAGCCATTGCAACACACCAGTATACAGTACATCTTACGTGAGTGGGCG